CTCTATTATCATGGCATCCCCTAGGCCGCCCAGGGCCATCTTTCCCAATTGGGTCATTGAGTCCTCAGGATGTCAAAGTCAAAAGTCCCAATCCCAGTCCCACAAATTGATTGTCAACAATGAACCACGACAATGTGCGAAATATTAGTCCTCTTTTCAGTTATAGAAACTTGTATGTATACAAAAAGCAAAACATATTGAAATGTTATGATGCAAGTTTCATCACGGTGTTCCGCCAGCTCACGCCAGTTCGTTCTGGAACAGGAAGATTGGCAGCCATGTAGATGGTTTGCAACTTCCGTTGAGCAAGGCGTAGCCATCACGAGCTCATACGGCGGGGGCGCGGATGGTGGCACTGGGCCAAGCACTTCTCCCATCTCCAATCTCCAATCGCTATGATGAGGGAGCTGTTAAACGTAAATCTGGAGCAGGTCCATGATGTTGTAACATGGCCGCGACGGCGGGAGCTGTGGCAACCCTGCTGCCATGGCTCCAGTGCCCTGGGTGGCCTGAGAAATTATTCCAGGAGTCATGTCACCTGCTAGAATATTTTAAAGCAATTTGCCCCGGAGGGTTCTTGGACCCTCACTGACCCACTAAGTGTGTTCAACTCCTTGTTACTTGTTCCGGAACCTTTTTTCGCAGCATTCCTGAAAGCTTCTAGGTCCAAGGCAAACCTGCGACTCATGGGGATGGATGAATGGTGTCGCAAACGACAGGCAATTGAACCACCAAATTGAGACCGAAGCCCGGTAGACACCGTGGGCGCTCAGTGCTTGAGCGCACTTTGTCTTGTCGAAGCAGTCTTGAACCCCGCTTTTCTCTTCAGGGGTAATGGCCAGAGGAAAAGCTTTCAAGAAATCATCTCCAAAATGTTTCAAGATGGTGGAGCAGTCGGATTGCACATGCTCATAGTACGACTTGTTCGTTGCATTCCAGTGTCTTGGTAGTGTTTGCCACCGCAGCAGCTGGGAGCTTGCGGTCCCGCCTCTGCACCTCATTTTTCTTTTGAGCATTGAGGTGCCACGCGCTGATGTTCTTAATTTCAGACATCTAGACAGTGACAAGAAAACAAGCTGGCAAACAAGCGGCGAAAGCCAAAAACAGCTGCGGACAAGAAGGCCAGGAGGAACATGAACATGTCTGGGCCTCATTGACTTCAGTGGGTTTGTTCGATGACGACGAGTGGTTCATGCACATCACCATCACCATGGTCTTCACCAGTCTGGTTGACGGTCCCATTACCTTAACATATACTGTACATCACATGCACGCTACTTAAAGTGCGACAGCGCGGGCAACCCGGCCTGCTATTTCGCGACCAGCCGGCCGGCCGGCTGGCTGATCGAGAAATAGCGGGGCGCGATAAGCTCGCAATGCAAAATACTGCAATCATCTTCGGAGCCTGGCAGACAGATTGGAAGTGATTGGAGCTTCCTTGTGCAGTGAACCCAAATTTCAGTTGCATCATCAAAGTGTCAAGCAACGCCTCCACCGACATTGAGGGCATAGGATCGTGAAAGCTGACACTACGTGCGGCCTCGAGAAAATGAGTCACAAGTCTAAGTAGAAGTAAACTAAAACCCAAACGAGGCAAGCTCTGGAGCTCATTCAACCCCAGCCTCATCCTCACGCTTCCACATGGGTGTTCCGCAGAAACAAGGATCCAAATATAGCAACTTGAACAAACGCAAAGATATGACAAAATGACAATAATGTTGAACTATGATTAATAAAGGTACCCGAAATAGCGTTATATCGCAAAGTTACTCTCTAATTAAAACCCCCCGTGAATAAAGTTAGCGCAGTTCAAACATAAAATGAAACAAAACAAAAACTCAAACAAACATATAATATTTAGAATAAACATAACAAAAGTAATGACACCATCAAAAGTAAACGAGTATATTTAAATATATAAACATTTCCCAAAAAAAACAAATCTTAAAAACAAAAACCATATCCATAGTTTGTTAACAAAAATCATTAAAAGCAGACACTCAAAAATATTTTTAAAACAACAAACAAGTAATCACCCTAAAGAGTACGTACCCTAAATAAAGCTAAGACATTTTCCTGATGGTGCCACACCCCCCAAATAGTTTACCCCAGAGAAAGCTAAACAATTTGGCTCACTGAAAAAGCAGCTTGTTGAGTTCGTATTTGGTTCCTTTCATTGCTTTGTCAACAGAGTGCTTCTTTGGATTCCTTATTGATTGATTCCTCTTCACCTCACAACTTTTTATCATCAAACACAAAACCTTCTGACAACAAATCCTTCTAAATCCCTTATTGAACAACCATTGAAAACTGATCAAAACTACTCTGGAAAGGGTTCTCCCCATGAAGCCGCCAAACCCTAAATAAAGCTAAACAATTTGGCTCACTGAAAAAGCACTTGTTGAGTTAGTATATAAATCCCTTAATTCAAATTAAATTCTAATTAAATTCATTTGAGTTCCAATTCAAGTCTAATTCAATTCAATTTTACTGTAATTCAATGTCTATTCTATTTCAAATCAAATTCAATTCCAATTCAATTCTAAGCAATTCTAATTCAGTTCCAATTCAATTCTAATTCAATTCTAGTTCAATTTAAGCTCAACTCTAATTCAGTTCCCATTCAATTCCAATTCAATCCGAATTCAATTCCAATTCAATTGAATTTAAGTTTAATTCAAATTCAATTCAAATCCAATTCTGATTTGAATACGTATTCCCTTGTCTTTCAATATTCATTTCAATAAGGGGTCATTTCATTTCCAATTTAAAGTCTCTTGTCCCTTTCATTTTCATTTTCGTTTTAGTACGGGATCATTTCATGTCTATATATATACTAAATTCTTTCTTGGAACCTGGGGTTAGCTTTATTTAGGATAAACCAAGATTTCAATATTTGCCACCCCCGTTTCTCAATCAGAGGTCAACATTACCTTAAATTGTCTTGGCGAATTGGTCGCTTGATTCCGGGCGTTTTGATGATTTTTTCTACAAGTGACCCCAAGCAAATCAAGCAAAGAAGGTGTTTGATTTTCACGTTTCATCGAAGAGCCGGCCGAGAACTCTCCTATAGAATATTCATGATCTTCCAAAGGCCTCGTGCGACCGCCTTTGGAATCACATCTTTCGCCCATTTGAATCCCGCGCATCTACGCCATCCAACCTCACGCGGAATCCCGGTTTAGATCAACTGGCACGAGTAAGCCAATCAGTCCGGTGGCGATCTCTGGTAGTATTTGAGCGGGCTAAGCTCTATGCAATCTACCAAGCTCTACGCACTGTTCGACCGTCCCATCCATCGAAGCCCTGGGGCGATCGACCAGGTTCCGTCTGACCCTCGCTTCCCCGTCGCCCCGTCGCCCCAATCGGCCCAGCGGCAGCTGCACGCCAAGATCGTCTCGGAAGAGAGGAGCCGGAAGCAATGGACCTGCTGGACGCGGCCGGGAGGTGGCTGGAGGATCTGTGGGTCAGGGATCATAGATCCAAGGCTATACAATGTTTAAACATGTCTATAAGCATGTTACAGTAACGATTGGCAGGCACCTACTAGACGCAAGCAACATCAAGTGTTCTCAATGTCAAGAAGGAGGCCTATCTGCATCTGCATGAACCCTGACGTAAACGCCAGCTGCATGAAGAGAGATCACTTTCAGCCCGGAGCACACTCTTCATATTTCCCTTCTCTACCAGCATGCATCCCCCCCAAAACTCTGCCTACTCCGAACTCTGGCTGAACCATCTCTGAAAAAAACCTAACGAGACGTGACGGTCACGCCAGTCCCGGGTCCCGGCAGCTGCGCCACCTTCAACTCCCGCGGCAGCTGCGTCCATAGCATAGGAGGTGCCGGTCAGAGGGTGGAGTTGACACTTGTTTGGACAACACCGCGGTTTGTCTCCGTCGTTTGGGAGAAGAACTCTTGGGAGAACCTTCGGTCTTTTGGTTCGAAAAAACATCGCTTTTTTGGGGGGTGAAGGTGGGGTGGTCGAGGTGGCTGAGTGAGTTGTTCTTCGGTGTTGATATGTTTTGATGGAAGGCGTGGAGGATGTCGCTGTTGGCGTCTAGTCCCCCGCAAAAAAAAGAGGAGCCCTGCAGGAACCCAAACACCGAGGCATGTTCCGGTTTCAAACACACAACAGGGGGGTGGTGTTCCTTAAACACTTAAGTAATCTTAATGATGTACCACTGGGCGTCGTTTTGCCGGCACATACCGCCGAATCACCCCGACACTACCGCCGCATCACCGGGCAACAAGGCCCGAATCATAGCAGGCCCCCCGTCGTTGGAAGCCTGAAACCGGGAAAAGGCCTGAAACAATTGATCCAAAAACGACCCTGCCGAGCAAACGTGGTTCTATTTAATGTATTTTGTTCTATATTATCTATATTTACATCAGTTCATGTTGCTGATGTTCTTTCTTTGGCCCTGTGTTCCACCCTGGGCCCTGAGACGGTTTCAGACTGTGGTGACGGAAGACGAAGGAAGAACTGTCCTTTCCTTTGATAGCAGAATCATGCAGAATCCTTAGTCGATTGATGCAGAATGCTTTGCTAAATATGTTCTTTTCATCGTTGGGTGGCTGAGCACGTGGTCAAGGGAAGACTCTCTCTCTCTCTCTCTCCCTTGATTATCTTGTGAAAATCGATTCATGATGATTCACGCCACTCATCACCTCATGTTGCATATATGTTTCAGCAGTTCTGGCTGCGAGACAAGCACAACACTTCACACACAAACCCAAAACACACAGATGTGGGGCCATTTGGCCCAGAGTGGCAAAACTAGTGAACAAATCTGAGATGTTTGCTTACCAGTTTACCATGCACGGATTTTAGCATATTTTAGCCTATAGTGTAGCACTGGATTAGCATTAGATTTTAGCCTTCTGCAAAACGCCAACCAGTTCAATTTCTCTGCGTTTGTATGTTGGAAAGTGTAAGAAAGTTTGTGAGACTTTCATATTACATTCCATCAGTTGGAGGATGAGAATGTTTCTAGTGGTTCATCAGCTCTGCGTTCCGATCACACTGCGTTTCACATGGTTTCACTCCCATGGAACGCATGTTTTTGGGTCCACGGTATGCGGAGCAATGCCGTAGACGCCTCACTTCCCCTTCCAACCTCAAGGAGAAACGGATCATGCAGGACAAACGGATCGAGCAGCACGTGTGTTTGGCAAGACAATGATGTGTCTTCATGATGGGTTCGGCGGCTTCCCGCCGACTCAAAACCGCTGCAAAACAACACTTCCAGTCTTCCAGTATCGAAAATCGCAGTGTTGTTCATGTTTTTGTTCAAACTTGTTCAGACACTTCAACCGGAGTTGGTCACTAGGGTTGCTGATGGGTGTCTGAATTGGTCCCTGTCACTAGTACAACAAAGTATACGGATTGAACCCGGTTCAGTGCGCAGGCGGAGCCATTCGGGCTCCGAACTTGCTCACTTGCTCCGAACGATCGTTCACTTCTGAGATGGTTTCACCCATCGAAGTCGCCATTCGTACCAAGGTGCCTTTGCCCTTGAAGGGCATGCCAAAGCCCTTGCCGCCTTTGCCCATCATGCTGATGCCCATCTGGCTGGCCAAGGTTTGCGCCATGGTGGCCATAGGGTTCGACATGGGTGTGACCATGCCTCAGCAGCCGCGTGCTCGCGTGCTCACCGCGGCTTGGGGATCCGGTGTTAAGGGGTCGTGGGAGCAAGACCTGCGAGCAAGACCTGGAGCAGAATATGCATGGCTACTAGGGGCGATCGGACGCTATTTGAGCTCCTGGCATTACTACTAGGAGCAAGAAGCTACAGCTACACATGCTTGGCTTTAAGAATTCAAAAGGCGTGCAGCATTCTGTCGGATCCCTTCTACAAGATGTTCATGCCAACTGCCAAAAGAAAGCTGCTCTTGGCTCATGCCTGTGTGGAACCATCAAGGAGATCCAACGAAAGCACTTGGAACTTCTGTCATGCTCCTTCACCAAGTGGCCTGGGCCAAGCGGCACCTTGCCAAAGCCCTTGCCACTGCCCTTGTCGAAGCCCTTCTCGAAAGACTTGCCAAATCCCTTGTCGAAGCCCTTGTCGAAACCCTTCTCGAAGCCCTTGTCGCCTTTGTGCCCCTCGAATGGCCCGGAACCTGATCCAGTCGGTTTGAATGGAACAAACACCGTCGGTCTCCTTTTTTGGGGATGAACAGTTCATGAAAGTGAACAGGACATGAAGCTCTCCCCTGCCAGTGCTTTCGGTCGGTGTCAGGAAATGGCCGGGTCAATGCATGGCTGGGGACTCTGGATAGATCATATGCATGGACTATCATATAGACTAGCATGGACCAAGGAAATATGGTACTCCAATCACCCCAATCATCCCCCATCCCTCATAACCCCCCAACATGGTTCCACTCGGTTCCACTTATCACCGCCCCAAGTCGCCCCAACCTTCCTCGCTTGCCTCAGCAGCTCGCTTCTTTTTGGGGGGAAGGCTCTTCTAGGCTCTTCTACTGGCCTCCACCCTATTAGCGATTGCCTCCACCCTACTAGCAATGGCCTCCAACCATTCTCCAACCTCATAGCGATGGCCTCCAACCTAGTAATTAGCGTCCTGGCAACCTCACAGCGATAGCCCCTCGCCACTCGTTCGACGCGAGCGCCGCGCCCGAGCTCTTCCGTCCGCTCCGTCCTCCCGTGTCCTCCCGCGTCCTCCGCCGAACGGAGCCGACCGATCGTGTAGCCGGGCCGGCCTTTCATGGGGCCCTTGGGTACCACGAACTTCAGCTTCGCCGACTCGTCGCCCATGTCCACCAGCAGCGCCCGGTGCCGCCGGCCCTCCTCGGCGATCTTCACGAAGACCTGGGCCGCGGCGGAAGGAGGATGCGGCGGAAGGGCGGCTGAAGTGACCAAACGGAGGAGACGAGCGCATCCCAAGTGACCCTAGAGGTTGTACTGGGACCTAGGGGTCTGGGACCTATCTTTTTTTGGGGGGGTGGGATTGGCCCCCCTATGATCCTTTTTAAAAACAACACGAGCCAAGTTTTTCTACAAGGTGATATGGAAAAAGTCCCTGGATGAGCAGAAATCAATCAATCCAACAGATTGAAAGTGATGGAAATCACTGGATCCATGCCTATTTCGTATTGTATGTTGGGAATATCCCTATGACCAGGACCCAGTGGATGATGATGGTTAGTAAAGGCCTTTCTCACACATAGTGAGTGAAGTGACAACTTTAATTTAAACATCTATTATTGTAAATATTTCGATATGGTATGTTTCTTGGTTCCTTCAAATCTTGCGAGAAAGCTTGATCAATAATCATCCATGCCTGAGGATACTCGATCTCGTCGTCCAGCAACGATTCCAAGACCTTGTCCTTGTTCACAAAGACGCAGTCCTCACCACTTGAGATTGGATGTGGATCAAGACATTGGGGCGCCACCAATATGCATGGTATCGTGAGTTTCTATCATTTTCTAAATCTACTAATCATAGACCTACTTTACTTCCCAAAACCGAACATCCACATCTGAACACCTTTAAGTCGACCGAACTTCCGACGAAGCACAGCCCCACAGCCCGCGGGTTCACGACTTCAGTCAGTCGACCTGGTCCCAGCACCCAAGGTAGATAGGCCGGCTCCCAAGAACGACACTTGCTCCCAAACGGGATCCAAAGGGTTCAAACAACAATACAAAGAAACACCATGCATATTTCAGAATACATTATTGTTCAATACACAGATGTTTAAAATACAACAATACAACATACAATACAATTTTCATGCATAATTCAACAATCATGTATCACAGCATAATACCATATATCAATCGATCAAACATCAGCACCATATATCAAAAGAACCAACGAGCTGCATTCCGGAAACCCAATTCAGCCGATGGAATGCACCTGGCGTTCGGCCCCCGGGCGAGCCGACGGTTCCGTCCTTGGCCAGGTTCACCAGATCGGCCTCGGACTCGACGCCGTAGTTCTTGGGGGTGAGGTTCTTGGCATAGTATCCTGGTGGGAGAGGAGAGGAGGAGAGCGGTTTTTGGGGGGGCGTTTTGGGGCGGTTTCTTGACCCTCACCCGAAGGGGTGAAAGAAGAGCTTCAGCTGCTGTTGTGTGCCGCGGCGTGGAGGAGTGGTTTAGATCTTCAAAGGAAACTGTCCTGCGTTTAAGTGTTCCTTGAAGATACTGTGACCAGTCCTATTGAACATCTAAACCTAATGTTTGAAGAAAGGAAACTGCCCATTGCTATCGGCCTGTTTAGTCTTCCAGTCCTATTGATGTCACACTATATCAATGTCAGGCCAGCGAAGGCAGGGAAGAATCCACAGAACTAGGAGGATGACTGACGCATTTTCCGGTTTGCTTTACGACTGGCTTTCACCTTTGCAACGATATGTCAATGCCTGAGTCCTCCATGGATTGGACTTATTTCATGGTTTTGGGTATGACTTGGTCAGTTGCCAGTCTTCCGGAAGCTCAATCTATGACTACTTGCTCCGGAAGACTCCAGACTGGACCAAGAGCAATGACACTAGAATGACTTCCGCAAGGGACCCAACCTTTGTAGATCTTCAGAACTTGATCGTCTTCACGGGGCCGGGGGGATCTCTACCATCGACCGCGCCTAACTATACCAACTGACGTGGGCGGCCTCCAACTGGCCCAGCTGGAGTCCCGGATCAAACAGGCGGCAAAACAAACACTAACAGCACCCCAGCAACAGCAACCCACAAATCAGTGAACACGCTTAAACGTACGAAACAAAAAAGACAGTAAAAACAATGCCATGACTTTCATGCATGAATTGAATGTCATGCCATGTAAATGCACCCTCTTCTTGCAGTTGTGGATCGGTTGTAGTAGAAGCCCAAATGCTCCAGGATGATGCCCTTGCGATCCGGATCATCGCAATCCTTCTTAAAGGCCCCAGCCATCAGGTGGAGCTCGTAGCACCTGGGGGGTGGGGCAAGGTGGCGAGGCCAAGGCGTCATTTTGTAGTCTTGCAGGCCGAAAGAGGTTAATATATAATGGTTATATAATTCACCAAAAGGGGAGGATTTAATTAGAAAACAAGGGGAATATCTACTCTACATATCTATACTGCATTATACTATAATCTTTTGAAATAGATGTTTGTGTTTTATAAGGAAACACACCCTCCAGACTCTGGGGAAAAACGACACGGGGACTTCCGACGTTGGAGGCCTCGCTAGAGCGATGGTGACGCCTCCTCCAACCGATGCTGTGGATGTGTTGTCGTCTGCCTCCTCCGGTGGTGATTCCTGTCAAAACTATTGACATGCCCGACCACCAATTACCCATACACTCCATGGGACTGCCATATATGCCTACATTGACCCCCCTGGCACCACCCCAACTCATCGGCATCTACGGCAGTCCCGTTTGGGACGACCCCCGTCCTTATGGAACACCACCATCAGCCCTGCGCGCGATAAAAAACACACCACACCACGCAGAACATAGATTCCCAGCGCCCAACGGGGTGGAATCGAAGCACAGCAATGTCATACCGTGTCAAACAGTGCATGCGCCGAAAGAAAGGACCCACATCGCGCGAGTCACGCGGAAAATTACACCAAGATAAATGTGAACTGGAGAGAGAACTCCTTGGTTCATGCAAGGCTAAACAACTCGGCCAGGTGATAGGCTGAAATGTGAACGAACAAAAAATGACACACACTAGGAGTCACATGGAGGGCCTGGATGCTTTGCCTCGTCGCAATTGCGTCGATGTGACGTTCGGGCACCTAACCTCCCATCCCTTCCCTTCCGTTCGGCACCAGCAGCCCGGTGGCCACGTGACTCCTGGCAGCCAGTTTTACTTGAAACGTGTTGAAACAATTTAGGCTGCCACTGGCTAAAACGAGAAAAACACGACAGGGCACAAGGACATCAGGGTCCAATCCTCCGCCGTGAAGTCTTTGTAGAGCGGCCTAACGGGGCGGACGGTGGTGTTGGGTGGTGTTTGTCCATGTGGTGGATGCAGCATTGGTTCTGGCCAGCGACATGTGGTGGAGTAGGTGGTGGACTAGGTGGCTTTTTGTACTTTTTGCGGGAAAAATGCTAAGCAGGAGTGTTCACAAGCTGGAAGATGTCCACTCATGGACAGAGTTCCAACTCAAGCCTGAGGTTACAAGCTTACGCTGAGGTCGCTTGGTCACCGGTCATCACGCCACTCTGTCCAATCCAAGATGTACAAGACCACGAAGAAGAGTAGAATTTTATTGAACAAACGAAGAAGACAAGCACGTAAACACCCAAAATGAATGAAATGATCACATCATGGATGCCAATCCACGATGATACTATGACAAGATCATAACAAGCTTTTTCGCATGAATCCAAGTCAAGAAGCTCAAACAAAGCAGGTGTGTCACTTTCAAAGCACGAGACACCCTCAGGTTGCACGGTTCCGTTTGGGATGGACAACCATCGCGCCGAAGGATGGTCACCCCAGCGGGCTGCCCCAGCTGGCTGGCTGACTTAAACGGCCAGGGGGGGATTCATGGCACCGAAAGACGGCCTGCCAGGTCGAAGGAGCAACACATGAGGTTCCTTTCGAAGGTCCTGTTCCATCTGGCAAGCCAGGTAACTATATAAGTTATAGCTTTCTTTCACTTTCAAATATTAGGACAAGGATGATACTTCACCCAAGCAGCCGTACTGTACCTGACTTACTAACCTTCCATTGCACAGCCCCAGTGTGTTTGATTCGTTTTCCTCAAAACTATAAGCGTAATCTCGGCTTCTGTTCCATGTTCTGGCTTCTGGATTCGGCATCTGTTCCGCAAAAACCTGCTAAATCCCTCCGTCTCCCTGTCCCTTCATCCCCTCCCTGTCCCTGCCGCCCAAAGACGTACCAGCGCCAATGTCATCCACCTCGTCCACGCCAAAAATGTCGACCCCTTCGAAGTCTACCTCCTGGACGAAGGGAAGACCGAGCGGAGCGACGTTTTGGGGGCACCGACGAGCGACGTTTTTGGTTCCGCGGTGCTGGTTCCGCGGCACTAAGCGCAGCAGTCCGGGATGCATTGCATATACAAGTTCACCTACCGTATCCGGTCCTTATCTGTCTGTTCAAGGACCTTCGATCGGCAAATCACAACAACTCCCCGGCCGGAATCCACGCCAAGGCCGGAATCCGCGTTCCTCCTCTTCCTCTTCATCGACTTCCATCGGATCTACCTGGCACCAAGAGGCACGGTGTAGGCACGGTGTAGGCGGACGCATCAAACAAAGGTCGTCATATAATTGAAATGACCTATTTTGTGGGGTCCATCATGGTCTATCCTATTACCTGGTTTCACTGGATGATGATGCGAGCTGCAAGGCCCGGCCCTGTTCAATACATATCGTGATGCTTCGGGTCAGTCACATGTTTCTATCGGCCTAATAGGACGGACTGGACACAGGACAGGCGGTCAACGGTCAACGGTTGTGTAGGACGTCAGTGACGTCCTTTTGTGAGTGTCTTAAATCCGTTCTGAAACGGTGGTGGTATGTGATCGTTCTCCTTTTCTTGTTGAATGTACAATCGTTTTTCAGCTGGAATCGTTTGGAGATCCAGAGTCCTTCTCTTTACTTGCGTATCTCGTCTTCTGCATATCGACTCACCGTGCCTCTTAAGGTGTTCCATTGATGTTGATCGACGATCGACGTTAGCACCCCGTGCTGACCAACACTGATTCTAAAAACATATGTTCTCTTTCATTTCACACATGAAACGCAATTACCGGTGTTAAGATGTATGTGTTAAGTGTGTTCAGGGTGGCATGTGCACCCCACAAAACCAGGTGTTCGAGAGGCTCAGCAAAGAACCTCGCATGTGCCGGTGATTCTTTTCCCATCCAAGATGTAGTAATGTAGTAGTTTTGAGATTCCATGCATCATTTAGGCTGCAAACAAACACATCTAATATACCAGCCAACAACTCCCAGTTCTGACCTTCCCCGGAACTGGATGGGAGAAGTCACCGCGAAGTTCGCTGGATGTACACCAGGACGTCCTTCCCAACGGCGGGCGGGGCCTTCTCCTCCTCCTCTTCTTTCACCTCTTCCTCCTCCTTCTCTTCCTCCTCGTCTTCCTCCTTTTCAGCCTTTTTTCAAACAGAAGTGCAACAATGCAAAGGAGACTCGATGCCACACACCAAACCACACACAGAGCAACCCCTGCGTACTTGAACCAACCAACACAAGACTTGGATTGACCCCTCCAATGACCAAGTTCTCTTGTGAGCAATCCTGGTGGCACCTTATACAAACATCTACAAACCCACACACACACACACCAAACCACCAACAAGAAATGTATTGCCCCGCTTCACATCCCCTTTGTTCGGCTCATTGGATGGAGTCTGTTAACACAACTATTTCAAGCAAGAACACCATCAGCGACGCAGCTACCAATCAATCTCTGGACCACGACCGACTCACACAGCAAGTGATTCCCCGGGCCCGGGCGCAGCAGGCGGAGGGACGTCCGCGACAGTCCGGCGCAAGCAGAACGTGCCAGGTTGATGACTGAAGCCATCCCAAAGCGGCTGCATGACAAGCAGAAAGCATTCCAAAAACAAGGCTACGCCGCCCCAACAAAACCAGGAATGAAGAAATACTGGAAATCCTGAAGCCACTAGCCCAAACAAGGCCTTACTGGGAAACAACATTCCCGCAAAAAAAAGAAAACACACACCCCAACGCACCAAAATCAAGCCCTCTCCGCCCATCATGGAGGTGAACCAAAATCGCCACCTTCTGTTTGCAAACCCTGCTTCTTCGGTGGCGCCTTCTCCGCCTTCTCCTGTTCCTTCTTCGCCTTCTCCGCTGCTGCTTTGGCCTCTGCCACCTTGGCCGCTTGCAGCTTCCTCGCTTCCTTCTGCCTCAGGTCGTTGCTGTCTCCGGTGCGCCAGGTGGGCCAGGGTTGAGTTGGTCTTGCTGTTCTCCCGACTAGAAGGTCTAGTCGACTGAGGCAAGAAACGCTGGAACACCTCTGGAAATGCAGCGGTATGGAGAACGAACTTGGATAAAAGGTGGGAAAGGTGGCGCAATTCTTCTACCAAAGGGTACTAGAAGAGAACCCCCTATTTTTGCTGGCTTGTACAGGTCTTTGAACCAACCATGTGGAAACAACAACAATCCCATCAAACACCTGCGGTTCATGCCGCCAGGCGACGCTTTCTCCGTGGCCTTCTTTTGCATCTTTCCCTTGTACTCGGTCTGCTTGTTCTGCCAGGTATGAACTTGCTTCTGCCAAGCGGACCACTTCGTCTTGAACCACCTGAGATGAGCTTTCAGAAGCTGAATTTCATGGGATCTTCAGCATTTTGGGGATCTATGATTTCACATCGGTGAAATAACAAAGTGTTCACCTACAAACCGGTTCAGCACGTACGTTCTTGTTTGGGCAGGAAAGGATGAGCATCTGAGGCCAGGTAGGCAGGTAGACTGGTCGGATGTCTATCCTTCTTAGGGTTTTCTTCTAACATGTTTCATTATGTTTCTATACATTTGGGGTCCCAAAAACCCTTTCCCCCCCTACATCTTGTGGCGTCAAGAAGGTCGTGAGTGCCACCTGAGAAAAGCTCTTACATTGAATTTCAACTGTCCATCATGTGTTCAAAAGGTTTCAATTCCTTTTTGGGGAGCCCCCCTTTCCAATCAGAAATAGGTCCTAGTCCTAGGTTCTTCCGGTTCTTCCCCTGAAAGCCTTATCCTTTCCCCTGGTTTCCCCGCACTAGAACGGGGTTCTTCGGCATGAAGGGGAAACCATACGGTTCTGAGGGAGGCCACTGGAGCGACGTTCTTTTCTTTTGGCATGAAAGGGTTTATCAAGGGGCTTCCACCCTTTGAGGAGGAAGAGGAGAAGGAATGATTGCAAGTACGGGTATGGTTTGGTAGTAGTTATAGTCTATACTCGTTTATTGATCGCTTACAAAATTGGATCGTTGTCCTAACATTTTTTTAAAGTACAGGGTCTATATGTATGTAGAGTCACTATTACTTTCCTCGAACTGGGTGCGTCTAATTTCATTCAACATCAAAACACTTCTTCTGCGCGTCCCCAACCGATCAACCGTATAAGACCTGTTGCGATGTTTCTGACATTTGTTCGTCTCCCTCGTCTCCTGGGCTCGCTTCCCAGCGACGCGGAGGGGCTCAAATCTTCCACTCGGCTGGTGAGCTTGCGTTCCTCGGCCACGTCTTCCACGAGAAACACGGCACGAACGGTGGGTGTTTTCGAGGGTCGGTAGGTCGGTTCGGCTGAACAAACTCTGTTCGGGATCCGGAAGGCTCAAGAACAAGCACGAGTTCTCCGTATGTTGCTTTTGATCCGTCACGGGTGAATGGATCTTGAATCCTGCGCGAATCTTGGCCTATGGCGGGCCTATGGTTTGACCACCCAAATGAAACTATTCTTATGACCGAAACCCCATGAAATATATGAAATGACCACAACAATAGGCTTGAATAGGCAGTGTACCAACCAACTCTCTTTTCTTCCCACGAGCCATTCTCCGATCCATTTCTCCTTACAACCAGCACCAGCACCCCCACCACTACCAAATCGACCGTGTGTTGCGCTTATACTGAGGCGTACTCTTACTCTTACGACCGGACCCCGCAAAAGAACAAACCTGCCAAACCCAAACGAACCGCCAAACCGCGCCCAAACTACGACCCGCCCCGCACAACCCTCCCTTCCCCCTTCCTTCCGCTGAGCTGCCATGATCCACTTCTGCAGCACTTCGGCCGCCTTGCCTCCCTTGGTCCATTCGAAGTGCACATCGTCGAAACCCTCCTCCAGGTCGGGCAACGTGAACTTGGTGAAGCCTCCGGAGCGACCGAGTTCAGCGAAGACGCAGCGGCGCCTTTTGGGAGGACTTTCTACTTCAATGGACGACTCTAAACGGAGTGAAGGAGGAAGGAAGTTAGATGAAGTTCATCTAGTCTAGTCATTGTATCGTCATGTAAGCACAAGAGCATCATGTATAGTCTGAATCTTGTCTATAATTAGTCCTATATAATGTCCTATATATTGGTCTCATGCGTCTTATGTAGTTATAAAATATCCACGAGAGTATGTAATCACATCTAAGTTCTGAATGATGGCGACCTTGTGAGTCCCTCCCAAACACAACACCATTCACTGTGAAGGCAAACAAACAAACTCATTGAATTTCACCATCATATCATCTCGTGATGGCCCAAAAAACATGGTGCTCCAAAAAGAAACATCACCTCATATCAAAAAGTAAAATGGTGACCATTTGTTGGCGCCCGCCTCATCTCCTATCATCTCGTGACCTTTTTGGGAGGACTTTCTACTGCAGCGGAGCCCGAAACCTCCCGACACCATATCTTTTTCAGTGCACTGACCTCTGGTGTTGCGGAGCTTGCATCATATTTCAATCGTTCGTTCCCGCAATGAGGCATCTACATCATGTATGTAATTATATATATACCTAGCACTTCCTGTCTGGGTGTCCTGTCTGGTGACCTATAAGCAGTTTAGGGTGGTCCATTGGTAGCCCCTTGGAAGCAGCAGTTCTATATTCATTAATTATTCGTAATACGTACATACCAGGAGTCACGTTCGACGGAGTACCTATTGGAGGTAGTCGGGGTGCCCTTGTCACATCACATCCACGGCCCCTGGATGGGACTAAAGGCCACCCGTTTGTCACATTGTTATATATATTACCCAGACACTCCATGTATGCCATATATGCCCACATTGACCCCTCAAACCACCCCAATGTAGGTAAATATGCCATACATGGAGTGTCTGGGTTATGATATATTCAATATCATTGCGGATCGCCAAAGAAAAGAACATTTAAGGCGGATCTCTGGTATTCTTCCACCAATCCAACATGTGACTTCATCAAGGCTCGTCTCAATCCCCTCATCTTCCTTCCTGGAACTCCGCCACGGCTGCCAAGGGACTGGTGTTCAGCAGTGTGGTGGAGATGTCCGGGTTGGGCAGCTTGCGGAAGGGCATCTTCTTTTCCTGGAAAGCTAAACTCTGCGGCGAGAATAGGCCACACGTGCTGAGAACTTCTATCTTGATACCTTCACTTCCACAAGCAGTGGAAGCTGCGGTTCGGAAAGGCCGTTAACAAAAACGGCAGATGTGACACATGGGAATACCAAAGATCCCCCAAAGATTGGAAACAGGCCGCAAGGCCAAAAGAAAGAAGTGACTATCGCTGAAGAACAGCTGGCCGACGTCAAGCAAACCCTAGGCCACTGCCGTTGTTTCGGCCTTTGTTCAGCTTTTCTCTCTGGGTGTGTGTGAGCTGCCATTGTTTGCCAATGTGCTAGATATATAGCGATGTTTTCCACGCGATCAGCAGCTGTCTCGCTGGACGAGGCACCAAATAGTTAAACCGCATCCAAACAATTCCAAACAGCACACCTTGCAAACAAAAACAAGCCCTAGGGCTCCAAGTACCTTCTAAGAAGGTGTTTGGGTCCAAATACCTTCTGAGGAGGTACTTGGAGCCCTAGGGAAGAGTTGTTGTGCAGTTTGACCACAAAAGACACTCGGAAGAACGGCCCTAGGAAGACCAACCCTCTTGTCCATCATGCGTGCATCCCCGCGCGTGCATCCCGACTGGCCTCAGGCGTGAGGGTAGCCTTCGGTGGGTCCTCTTCCACCTCAACCTCATCCTCCTCAACCTCATCTTCGTCCTCCTCCTCCATCTCCTCATCCTGACCCAACCCAGGCGACGGAGGCAGCGAGCGTCAAGACGCGAGCGTGCCGCGGACCCCAAGCGCCGCAGCGCTGCGCAGAGCGGTGTGTTTTTCGGGTGAAGCGAGCGAGCCGGGGGAAGCAGACGCAGTGCCTCGGACTGTTCCTGGAGGAGCTTCAGACTGTTTGTTCTGAACAGCAAGAGAGACTAGTTTTGCCTGGCCTCAACCCCACAAACATCCACAAACAACCCTGAGCCGGATCAAATGGGAACTCCTTATTCTCTATAGTCCAAAAAAGCCACCCCATACCGGGCGCCGTGCGCATCCGTGCGCCGTGCCCCGTGCTGCCTTGGCTTCCTCTGCCTCTTCTTCCTCGTCAGGCAACTCAAGTCCCTGTTCCTTGGTGCTGCAGTGCTGTCACGAAGCGAGATCAGAGCTGCCGAAACGAAGCTCAAAGGAGGCATCTTCTGCCCACCAAATCCTCCGTCAATTAAGAAGTGTAGCAAGTCAATCATAGTGGGAATTGGAACCATCTTAGAACATATACTACATACACCGCTCATGTTCCAACTAATTCTAAAATGGCCACGGCTTCTGCCATTGACATGATTTGCTCTGATTGGCACGCAAAGAGACAAGTCTAAAAAGTAGGATGGAAGAACCATTCGAGTTTAGGAAATCATTCTGCTTCAGTCGCTAGCTTGAGCCTCCTTGCCTACCCTTATCACATCCCCCCGTCCGGGGGCCTCTGCCTTCTTTCGTTCGGCCTCCTTCTTGGCCTCGCATGTGGCCGGGTGCAATCCATTGGGGGGCATGGTGGCATGGCATGGTGTGGAACTAATGCGCGTGTATTTTGATACGGCAGACCCTAATCCGATGGCGAGCACCCAAACAAAAGGAAAGGCTCGGTGGAAGCATGTCTAGACAGGTTCCTGTGCGCGTTTGGCCACATGGCTGGCACGTGTCTTTCTTCCGGCACCTTCTCCTGGCTCTTCTTAAACTCCTCCATCTTCTTAAGTCGCTCTTTTTCGGCCTAGCCAGGCCAAGAGGCCGACAAACGGCCCAGTGCCACTCGACAAGTGCCTGGAGCTGGTGTGAAAGAACTTGGAGGCTGCCACCAAACCCACGCCACCCCCACCCCCACTCTTCTTCTAGAGGAACAAGCTCTTCCGTATAGCAGCTGTTCCGTGGGTCAAGGGGTTGGCTTTGGAGAGGAATCCCAAAGCCATGTGGGTGAGTCAACTGCGAATCGTAGAAAGCAACGCCATCTTCGGTACGTCTTCGTGCTCCCTCGAGTGCTCCGAAGCCCGGTGCACTAAGTCTGTCCACCGGTCACACCTCCAAGGAAGTTGATTGTTCAGGAATGCTTTTGCCCAGATGCTTCAGAGTGCTCGAACTTCTCTGGGTTCAAAGAACTCGTTCTTTGGTGGGTGAATCTGGATGTGTCTATATTATGTTAGACCGGATGTCTTTGGTAGCATAGAACCACCTAACATGGAACTTCCAGCTTTGACAACAACTTTTCAATGGCTGTGGCTGTTGGATGGATCGGCTGACGTGAAAAGTGGGCCCATATCATCCCATATCGGTACCGGTGGATGGTTATTTTTCTAGCCTGCCAAAGGAATCCAGGTGAGATACAAACCGCCAAGAATGTGGAAAAGCTGCCCCTACACCACTTTCACGCGCGCATTGGACACCAAGAACTGCATGGCAGAACTGCAGACCCACCGCAGTCGACCGCAGTTCCACTGCAGGAACAAACGACGCCTGGTCACCTTAACTCCAGAGGGGTTCACCCGATTTCCAAAGAGAGTACATTTGCCATCAACCCGGGCTGATGTCGTAAGTATTCCATGGCCTTTTTCTTGGCCTTCTCAGCCTCTTTCTGCTTCTTCTCCATCATCTTCTTCCGGTTGGCCTCAAACCAGCACCCCCAAAAATCCCCCAAACCATGAGCCACCCAATCTTTGATCTGGGCTAAGCTCTTGACCCGGTGCCAGCTTGAGTAAACACATCCATCGACGAAACACTTCCGTCAAACAATCATGGAAGCTGCGCAGGCCTCACTTGTAGAGGAAAATAGGTTTTCCAGCCGAACCGTTCCACTTCCATGATTGTTTCAGGGAGTGTACATGTGTCAGAGTGAGGAATCATGAATGTTACCATCTTATCTTGATTCTTATCTAACATGTCTAACATGATCTCTGTGTGCATTCCGCCGTTCTTCCCATAAAATGGTGGGTCCGTCTGACTGAACAACAACTCCACTAAAAGTAGTTGCCCCATCGCTCCTGGACGCAGCCAATGGACGCATGTTTTAGCTCTTCCAAGTGGCTCCGTGCTGCGCAAGATCTGTCGCAATGCTGTTGCCCAATCTGCCTTTGTCGCATGCGTCCCGCTGCAGCACGCACAGCTCTTGCCACATCTGCCACATCGGCCACATTCATGTCAGCTCCAGCCTCAAACAACAATCTTGCCACTTACAACAACCATTCTGCTGCAGAAAACGCTGTTCGCCCATCTGTGTTGGCCGCATTCATGTCAGCTCCAGCCTCGAGCAACAACTGCACCACTTCCAAGTGGCCCCGTAGAGTTGCAAAAAGCAACGGTGTTGCCCCATCTGCGTCTTCCGCATTCATATCAGCTCCCGCCTTCAGCAACAACCGTACCTCTTCCAAATGGCCCCGTGCTGCTTGATCAAGCAATGCTGTTTCCCCATCTGCGTTCGCCACATTCACGTCAGCTCCAGCCTCGATCAACAATCTCACCACTTCCAAGTGGCCCTGTTGTGCAGCAACTAACAACGCTGTTGCCCCACGTGCGTTTGCCGCATTCATGTCAGC